ATTTTCTGTTAAAATTTCTGTTAAAGGTGGTGAAGTCTGGGGTATGGCCTGGAAACGGCAGGAAGAGGAACTTTTACTTTTAATTTTATGTCCTCCTGTACAGTTTAAATTTTTTAACTCTATGTATAACTCAATTACTTTCGTTAAGAGATAAATATGTAGACACACCCATTCATCCATTCATCATAAATGCATAAATGTATATTAATAAATAATCTTAGCATAAAATTCTCATCTTCTCTAATAAATAATAATGGCTCTTTGAACACCTCCAGTGAGCTATGTTTTTTATGCATAGGAAGTCTAATCCTCCCCCCAGACTTCCAAGGAAGGTATTATTAGGCGCATTTTGCTGGTGGGAAAATTGAGCCCCAGATGGTGACCTTGCTTGGGGCTCTGTGTTCCAGGGGCCTTACTGTGCTGTATTCTCGAGCTACCCCGGGAGGTAGCTGCGAGGGTTAGGATGTGAATGTGGGAGCGTGGGGCGAGCCAAGGCAGCGTACATGCAGGGGTTATACCAGGAGGCCACAGCTGCAAGGGCTTTGGAAACTCTGACATGGAACAACTGTGAAAAGCCAGGCAGGCTCCCTGGAGGAGGTGGTAGAGGAGCAGTAGCACTAACATATGAAGCCTTTTATCTACAGAGCCATGTGCTGAACGCTTTGTACGTGCTTTTCCCAAAGCATCCTACCAGGCCTGTGAGATGGGGGTGTATCCCCTTTCATCTGGGAAACTGAGGCCCGGGAGGGTACGAGTGCCGCTCCAGCGCACAGTCAGCGTGATGGAGCCAGGACTGCAGCCCGCACCACCAGGCTCTGGAGCTGCAGCTCCTGTCCCCGCTCCCGCCCTTGCCCCCTCTCCTGGCCCAGCCCACCCACACTGTGCATCCCTCCCTTAGGTGAGGGACAGTCCACCGAAGAGCCGAGAAATCCCTGCCTGAGGCACATCTATGAGGACTATTATGACACCCACAACTTGGAGGAAAAGGCTGAGTGTTTCACCAACTGTGGGCACTTGGAGAGCGACCCCTGTGATGTGGGGAACTTGCAGAGGTGAGGGGGCCCTCTGAGCTGGTGTGGGAACCTGGGGTTCCTGGGAGGGGGGCCATTAGGAAGGGATGGGACCATCTAGGGGATACAGAGATGAATCTGCACGTGTCCCAGCCTTTGGGAGTTGCAGAGGGACATACACAGACCCAAATGACGATGACTCCAGAGTGCGATCATACGGAAGGGTGGGCAAGGTTCCAGGTTAGCCCAGAGGAAGGAATTCTGCTAAGGCTTCACAGGGGAGGCAACCCATGAAAGGGCTTTGAAGGGTGCATAGGAGTTTTCCAGTTGGACCCAAGAAATGGTGGAGGATACAGGCAGAAGAACTTTAGAGCATCGGGGGAGAACTATAATGCTTTGAACTGTGAGGGCATAAAGTGCTGGGGGGTGGAGGAGACAATGGGAGATGGGACGGGTGGGAAATAGGACTGCGAATATTAGCAGGGACGAAGGTGTGAAAGATCATGTAAGTTATACCAACAGGGGGAGGGGAATGACATTTTAAGCACAAGAAGAATGTAGTGAACCTTTATTTCAGAAAGATTGCTCAGGCTTCAGGGAAGGCTGCAGGGGTGGTGATGCAGGAAGGGACACGACAAGGTAGGGCGCAACTGCAGCGGTCTGGGTAGGCTTTGGGGCTGAACCGACACCGCCACCACTACCAGCTGGCATTGCGTGCTTGGAAAGGAGAGACAGATGAGAGATGGTTTGATGTAGAGTGAATAAGACCAAGAGACTGGTTAGATGTGGGGTGAGAGAGAAGGGGTTTAGAATATAACATCTTCAAAAGTCATCTCCAGGT